TAGAGGCAAGTGCAATCTGACCTCAAAAGAGGACTATGGTGACATCCTTCTCTTCTTCATATTTTCTAAGTGGTTTCAGTTTCACTAGTGTCCCCATCACAGTGGTTGGTCAGTTGAGATTGTCAGTGTGGTGACAAAGTGAGTCACCCCATTCCATATTTAGGGAAATTGACTTTGACTCATGTGTAGGAATTCATACCTAACTATACCAAATTAAGATCATCCAATGGGACAAGAAGGAAATTGAATTCCTCAAAGAAACATTTGGAAATACCTGTATACAACTTTTTTAAGCTTTACTTGTCTATCACATCAGTTCTTTGGATTTGAGGTCTAGAATGGGTAAATGGTCCATTTTGGGTGAAAGCTTCAGACAGTAATTTGAAATATACTAATCAAAACATTCACACATTCAAACACATATTTATCACTGTCTGTGAAATAAGTGGCACAATTATAGCCTTAATTTTGACCTTTCAGATCCATTTAGTGATTTTAAGGATACACTAATACTAAAATAGGTAAAAACAAGTTGCAGATCTATGAAGGGTTAATTTTCCTGGATATCTGAAAGCCCTTTAATTAAATATAAAAATATGTGTGCAATGTCTATTTAATATTTAAATGGAAATGATACTAGAATATAATTGCTCATTCTATGACCATGAGAGAGCTTAAGACAAAAAAACGCACAAGATTCCTCCCACCCAACTGCCTGCCTTCTAAAACCACGGCTGTGCTCGGGGCTAGAAACAGCTACTTCAGGCCAGACTGTACTTTCAGAATCACTTCCCCATTTAGCCTCTGATGTCTCATAGATAGCAAAATAACACTGGGCCTTGAGACAATATGCTGATGTCACTGATTTTCAGGAGAGAAGAGAGACTCCTCCCTCCGTGCTCATGACTAAGGCCATCTGGGTGGAAACAGGCTCCTGGTTGCTTAGGAATTCACTGGCTCTTGCCCATCTGTTTCCCACTCAGAAGCCTGATTGGGATAGCCTTCATCTTCAGAGTCATGGAGTGAAAAGGGGTTATTATTTGAAACATCTTTTCAAGATTCTTATCAAGTGAAGAAAGAGTCAGAGTAACAGTTAAGTGAACTCACAGAAAATTAATATTCTCATGCATTTCAATGGTTTCTCTGGTCTTTTATTTATTTATTTTTTTAGTGGATTTTTTTTTTAAACCAAAGAATTCATGAGGTTTTCTTTTTTTCAAATTGTTAAAGTAATAAATGCTCATTGTACCAAGGCAAAAAATTCAGAGGTACATAAAGTTCCATTTCTTCTCCCTTCTCACTCTAACGTATGTCCTTGAGATAACTCATCTGAAACACCTGATTGTGCATCATCCCATGTTTTATTGTGTTTAGATAGTTTTATACAAACATGTACACAATGTATCCCAGTTTTATAATACAGTCTATTACAAATCTTGAATAATCTCACATTGTTCTATAATTTGCTTTTCAACTTGACCTTATCATAATGACAACTTTCTAAGCCAGTGTGTACATTTTTATCGTTTTGTTCTGAAGGGCTGCACAGTATTCATGATGTGAAAGTAAAATAATTTATATAACCATTCTTTTAGTGAATAATTAGTGTTCTAGAATTGTTGCTATTACATTGCTACAATTAAAATATTTCTGAACATTTTATTTTTATAAGATTGATGCCTACATGTGGGAGTGCTATATCAAACAGTGTACACATTCCTAACTTTTAAGACACATCCAATTATTCTCTAAGACAATGCCAACAGTGTCAGTATACATCCTTTGCTCAATGGCTTCAGCCATCCTGGATGGAATCAATCTTTCCAATGTTGTCAAGCTAGTGGGTAAAAAAACAATCACATTTTATTGTTTTAATTTGCATTTCTGTGGGACCAGTATAAATATCCAATTGTTATTTTGTTACAATTCTTATTAAAAGTTACATTTGTTATTGATCAAGAGAAAGTAAATTATCTTTCTGTTGTTGTTGTTTTTGTTTTTGTTTTGTTTTGTTTTTTAATCCCTGGAGGCAAAAACCTTGTGAGTTATTTGCTTGGTTAGTGTTCCATGAAAATACAATACTAACTTACCTAAAAGGAGACTTGATATTGGAATCCTGTTACATGAATGAAACCATGAGTGTTATCAAAAATAAGCTATAAGATTTTAACTTTTGGCCAATCTGAATAATCAAATGAGACTTGTGAATCTTCTAACCTAGCTGTCACAGTCAAATTAGCAAAGCATTAACAATCCAGAAAACAACAAAATCCACCTAGATTACCACTCTACAGTGTGACGCAATGGGAGTGGAATGGGAAGGGTCATCCAAGATAAGGAAAATGAAACTGAGATCAGAGTGTCAAAAGAACCACACATGTTCTTTGGGAGAAAAGAATATGTAGGGGTTAGGAACAAGAGGATACTGGGGAGGCATGGCCAAGGAACAGAAAGGCCTCTGTGTCTAGAAAGCAGGGTGGAAGAAAGCAGAAGGAGAGCACAAGGGGATATAAAGATGGAGGGAGGAGCAGATTTGGGGCAAAGAAGTGGAGCCAAGAATACTGTCTGCATATGTGAGCGCGGGCCCATTACATATCCAGGGTAGATGAGCATCAGCACCAGGGAGGTGACTCCAAAGCCCGGGCAGGAGCTGAGACTGAAGATAAGGACTTAGGAGACACTGGAATCCAGGTGCCCTTTAAGGACCCTAGACCTGAGATCATGTAGGAGTCATTAGAGAATAAGAAATCAACAGTGTGTATGTGGAGACAGAACATCACAGTTAAGAACTAATTATTCTTTAAAGATATATTATTAAACTATGATTTGTGCAAAAGGTAAGGCTTTAAAAATTATGCATAATCTTAAGTTGTCATATGTACTATTTTAAATGAATTGTGACAGAGTTCATTTTAAGGAAGCCTATTGTTGAGTTATCATGTGAAACAAAACCTTCATATTAAAATGCCAATAGTAATTAGGGAAATAAAGGGAAGGGACAGGAACAGGGAATAGGAAGGACAGTAGAATTAATTGGACATAACCTTCCTAGGCCTGTATTTGAATACACAACCAAGGTTGCTTCACATCATGTGCAACCATAGAATAGGATCCTAATTAGAATAAATTATACACCATGTATGTATAATATGCCAAAATACATTCTACGGTCATGTATATCTAAAAAGAACAAATAAAATTTTAAACGCCAATTAATAACCTGTAAAATATTTTTGGGAATTCAGTTATTTATGTGTGAGGTGGTAGCATTTTAAGTGGGTCATGGGTTGACAGACACAGATAGAAAATGTTGTGGCTTCACAAGTGAACACAGAGACTGTCAAAAAATTCATTTGATGCACGTAAGAAATATCAGTGAAAAAATGTTTAAAAGGAAAGAAAACCTTGGATGAGAGAGTAATTTACTCTCAAGCCCCTCAGATTGTTGCCTCCTTACTTTATGCACCCTGAAGATTTCTCTTTCCTCCTCAGCCTAGTCCCAGCCTGGTTCATTCCTTTTAATTTGCCTAAAAATGCACATTTCTTTTCATTTATTCAAAAGACTGAAATTTGGAAATATGCGCATATCAATTAAAATGTTGATATCTAAAACATAAAGTCCCAATTGAGGTACTTTGGTTTAAAGAAGCCTGAAAATTTTACAAATGCATGACCTAACAGAAATGAAAGTAAATAGATCTCAACTAATTTTCATCTCATAATTTATCTTACATACATGTGTAACTGGTTCTTGAAAGATCATTTTGAAAGTTAAGAATATTTCAACACTGCGTCACAAAACTGAAGCTGTGTTTAATTTTCAGGTCTCTTTACAAGTGTCTTTCCTCTTCTGTCAATGACAGGAACAGAAAGAGAGACTTCATAATAAAATACTAATAAATACACACAAAAATTCATTCAAAGATCAATTTTGTTTTGGAGACTTTACACAAGTGCGAGGGATTTTCCAAGTAAGAACTGAAACTCTTAAAATAATCTGTGGCTTGAAAAAAATACATTTACATATTAAATAAGTGATCAAAGAGTAAGCAATTTTAGCAGATAATCCATTCCTATGATTCCTTAAGTGTATTGTTTGTAATAGCATAGATACATTATAAATATGAAATTTATAGATATTTATTAAATTCTAAGTGGCAAATACATAGGACTTCAAGAATAGTGGTTTTCTAATTGACATTTTAGGTTTATTCGAAAAGAGAATGTAGTAAACTGAATAAATAAATCAAGAGAAAATAAAAGAGTAAAGCAGAATAGACTGAAGAGAAATGTAGCTTGCTCAGTGACAGAACTAAATGAACAATTTTCTTTTAATCATTCACATCCCTCAGTCTGATTGACTTGTTAAATAATTAGCTGTTTATGGAAAACTTACTTTTCAACAGCCAAAGGATCTTATTTCAAAGATCAAAAAAAAAAAAAACTATAATTACAAAAAGTAGACATTTTAATCCTAAAAATACTATAATTAAAATTAACTTTTTAATTCCAACTAAACTAAATAAACCATGTCATCTGAAAAACCATTTCAAATTCCTATTACATATTATAACATGCTAATAAAATCAGGATGAATGAAACTAGCAAAATCTGTACTTTTCCATAAATAACTATATGAAAACTTGAAAAAAGAACTAAGCACTGTATATTTATTCAATAGTAGAAGAAACAACTAAAACATTTTTAATGTCAGTTGGGGAGTTATCTCATCACTCAATATGGGCCAAATAAATAAATAAAATGAGAAGAAGGATGGCAAAGAAAGAAACTCATTAGAAAACAAAACAATGATCAAAGTAACAGTATTTGCACAGAATTTAGAGAGGCTTGAGACCAGAGGCAGACAAAAAAAACAAAACAAAACAAAAAAAAACCTGGAAGAACAGAAACAGAAGAAAAGACAAGGGACAAAGTTAAGCAGCACACTGGTACTGAGGACAACAAAGTCATCATTCAGTTCAGGCTTCAGAGTGTCTTACCTGAGTGAGGACCGCAAATGACACACAGGGCCAAGAAGAAGAGAAGGTGAGGGAGGGGACACAGCTTCCATTTCCAATGGCAGCTCCACATTCGATTTGAGTGAAACATCCTGCAAAAGAAAGAAAGGCACCATCCGACACTGTACCTTAATTATGACAACGTCATAAGGTGGGTTTCAGCAGCGACTGGAGAACAGAAACCTTTTCCAGTCTTGCTTTCGAATAAAGAAGGAGTATATTTATATTGATGGATTGACTGATGCATGCTAGGGGTCAAACCCAGCAGCTGGTGTGTGCTACACAAGTACTCTAACCCCTAGCCACACACCCAGCCCAAGAAGAAATTTCAATGATGACAACATCCTAATCACCTTCTTCAAGATGGCAAAAGAAAAAAAATCCATGAATTTTATTTGATACTTGATGACATTCACCTAATCAGAATACACACACACACACACACACACACACACAGTAGGTGATTTCTGGGTGAAAATGAGTAAAGAAATGATTCAGGAAAAATCACTATTTAAAAAAAAAAAGAAAAGAATTTCAGTTTCAGTCTATTCTGCCTCTCCAGTTGCACACCCATCTGGGTAGCAAGAGGATGTTTATATAGATGTCTTCCATAATCTCCCAAAAATGTCAACTGTAAGGAAATATTTTCATTTTATAGCATGTTCTGCTTTACAGGTATTTAAGTAAAATTAAATTGATTAAGGTCTTTCCCTAAAATGAGGCAGTGAAGCATTAATATTTGAAAAAAAATTGATATCTTATTATAATAATAGATACTGATGTTTTTAAATGGCTAGAAAATGCCAAATATTACAGACACTAGTAAATAACATATAGAGGGGAGCTGTGTAGTAACTCTCAAATACTCCTTGTGCATAATGGTCTCAGCTTAAATTTATAGTCATATTTAATAAAGCTTTAGAAAGAAACATCCATATAATCTTTGCTCAAAATAGTAGTATGATGTATTTCATTGATTCAGCACCTTCAAAAGAGGCAAGCCAATTAAGGGGGCAGTGAGTCTAAAATCCAGTTACCAGTAAGGAACCACACAGGGCGTTGATGAGCAGGAGAGATATGAGGAGGCACTCAGGTAGTGAAACAGCAGTATAAAATCTCCAGCTCTTAAATTCCTGGAAGAGAAAGCTAGTTTGCCTATAGTGGTAACTGACAGTCATTTCTAAAATGAAGAGTAAACTATAAAATACTTGAGGGTCAGGAGGATCGAGAGTTCAAAGCCAGCCTCAGCAAAAGCAAGTAGATTTCAGACTACAAAAATCAACACACAAAAGTTAGTAGCATTTCTATATACTAATAATGAACTATCTGAAAAAGAACTTAAGAAAAAATGTCATTTGCAATGTGCTAAGCAACTCAGTAAGACCCTGTCTCTAAACATAATACAAAAAAGGGCTGAGGATGTGGCTCAGTGGTTGAGTGCCCCAGTACCCCCGCCACACACACACCCCAAAAAAGATACTTGAGGGCCACTGAGAAACCTTCCTTAAAGTCTGAAGATTGCTTACCTGGGTAAAACCTATATATTAACACAAAACCCAAAAATCACTAGAGGAGAAATACTCGAATGAGCAAAGCACATATCAAGTGATTCCTGCACTTGCCTCAAGCCACCATTTTTTAACTGAAGCAAAGGCTACCTCATAGCAAACAGAACAAATGTTAGAGTCAGAGAGACCTGGGCTCTTCATTTAGGAACTTTACAATCCTTGAAACATTTACTTTATCACTTGAACTTCCTTTATTTCATCTGTAAAATAAGGAACAGCAATATCCCTAGTCCAGAGAGTTATTGAGATGATCAAATAAGATAATGTCTTGGCACTCAGTGAGTGTTCAGTAAATATTAGCTATTGTTACCACCATCCCAGACTCTAACATAAGTGTGATATTCTGTTTACAGTGAAAGCCAAGGAACCGATTTAAACAAGAATGGACAACAGGCTTAATCCTGTCAGCCAACACCAATCATCTGATTTATAACCACTTCTAGAATCACCTGGGAACCAAACTCAAAAAAGTTATTCATGTCTGCTAGGAAGACAGTGTCTGAATCTCATGTCAGATTTTTATATTTACTAAACCTTAATTTTCAGCAACAGGCAGCTTTATTGTTGAAAATTCTAAGCTAGGACAAGGTTAAGATCTGAAGGGACTATTTTGTATGGAAGATGATAATGTTTTTGAATTCATTCACCCAAAATATCTGAAGCTAAAATCAGCTGCTGCAAATGAGAATCATGCTTTAGTAAGTAAGTAATAATAGATGTGGACTTTGGAGAACCATAGACTTACATCCTGGTCCCTCTGTTAACTTGTGGTTTGGGGGCAGGTACTTAAACTCTAAGCTCTTTTCCTCATCTGGTAAATAGGCTACCAAATTACCCACCAAAAAGAACTGGAGACAACAGTTCATGCATTTAGTAGGGGCTTGTAAAAGAGTAGACTATAGTTCTGTCTCATAGAAACCTCACATATTTAGAAGAATAGTCTGTTTTCTATTGATGCTGGATGAATAAGGTGTTCCCCATTCATGCTGTGAATGAATAAACAGGCTTCTAAAACAAAAGTACAATTATATATTCAAAGAAATTTAGAGCTGAAGTCTAACCTCATTTCACAGAGGAAGAAACTGACGTCCAGTAAAATAAAAGGGGAGACCAATCAAGCCTGACTGCCAGCCTTCCAGATATTAACAGAGAGAAGTATCAGACCAAGAGAACTAACTCCGAGCTTCTTCCTCTTCATAACACATGACAATTCTCCTTTATCAATATGTGAATGATGTTTATATAGTTCCTACATGGTCTAGCCAACGTTCAGGGAATCATGCTCCTGAGCTTGGCTTCTCAATAGAGTTTTGTGTATAATGTTTTCATGTAACTTTTCCTTTGCTATAAAAGGTTCTGACATTTAGGGATTCCATATCCAGTCCTGGTTTTACCAAAGCTTTCTGAAATCCTATCAGGTAATGGCTTCAACTGATGACCAAGGCTTGATACATTCCAGGGCTGCTCAAGACTCTGTCAACTCAGACAGAAAAGAAGCCCAGGACCAAGAAAGCAATTGTAACCAGACATGCATCACATGACCCACCAACTTTCATCCATTTTACTGTTTACTGAAGAACAGAAAAAAAATAAAGTAAGAATAGAACAGAGGAAGGAAAGCACTATGGGTCTTCTCAAGGGATCACTTGGCCAACACACATCCCTGAGATTTAAACAACTTTCTCACAAGAGTGGAAAATCCTGGGTTACTAAGGTTCTCAATAGGAACTATTAAAAAAACAGTATACATGATTGTATCATTTTTATTGTGGCCTCAAAGTTCTGTGGAGGAAAGCAGGAACACTGTTAAGTAAAAGAGAGTGGTAGATTTGGATAATCTGAAAGGAATCTTAAAATTATATAATATAATCTATCATCTCATAGGTGAGAAAATTAAGATACTGAACTATGTGCCCAAGATCACAGAATCAGTGGTGACACAGTCCAAAACTCTTTGTGTTACCTAGAATCTACTCAGCTCCTCTACCTGTATTGCAAACTTGTTCCACTTTTCAATATGTACAGGCTACAAAACACAACATGCTTGGGTCCTGTTTCAGGAAGCTTTAAAATGTAACCACTTACAGCAATTAATTTAAATCTAAGTATAACCCCCTTGAAGGCACAATTTCATCCAAATTCATCACTGAAATAATCTAAGAAACCTACCATCTTGCATTTCTCTACTCTTAGTGGTTTTCCCCAAAGTCACAAATTAAAAAGAAATTAGAGAAGAAATTTTGAAGTCAGTAGAAAAATTGATAAAGTACTAATTTTATTATCACCAGCAATAGCAATCACTTCCTTGCCCATATGCCAACTGTGTTTCTCTGGCAAATCTTTTCATAAAAGGGGTTGAGTGAGTGGCAGAGAATACCTTCATTATTCAAGAGTGAAAAGAATAGCAATTTAGTTTATTCAAGTCTGTTCATAATGGTATTTTTTGTTCTGGTTAGATATCATGTTCCTGAGCCTAAGCAATGTATCAAAAAAAAAGAAAAAGGAGGAGGAGGAGGAGAAGGAGGAAGAAAGGGAAAGAAAGGAAGGAAGGAAGGAAAGAAGGAAGGAAGGAAGGAAGGAAGGAAGGAAGGAAGGAAGGAAGGAAGGAAGGAGAAAAGTGCTACTCTACTTTCAGTGTAAGTCCTTTGACGATGTTGGGTTCACTCCCACTTCAAAAACACTGGCTTGATTCTCAAAATCTTCACAAATCTTAAATGTTATTTAACAGTAAAATGCATAATTGACTTATACGATAGGTGAGATTAAGTCAACCTAGAGAATTACATTCATATACACCAGATGAATACAGGTAAAACAGGAAATTGGAGGCAAGAGAGGTAGACTGATTCTGATTTTGTACTCTAGTTTTACAAAATCTTCTTAATGGGTATCCTGGGTAAAAGATATGTGGAATCTTTATGCATTTTTGTTTACAACTATATTTGAATCTATAAATATCTTCACATTTTCAATTAAAAAGGTAGACCTGGGAGCTCTGACGTATACAACTTACTCTCAATTGATTCTGAAAAACATTACCTCTTATAAGAAGAGAGTGATAAAACAATTTGAGTCAATATTCATAATAGATGGTCCTATGTAAAGGGTATACAGGCATATACTTTGTATTATTTGTATTCTTGCAGCCTTCTTGTAGATTTAAAATTATTTCTGAAAGAGTTAAATGCACACACTGACGTGTATCAGTGTTTTTGTTTCATGACACTCATTTCTGTTATTATTGCTTTAGTCATTGTAAGTTTGATAGAAGAAGTAGTGTCTCATTTGGATTTGCTTTATTTGGTTTGGCATGTTCAAGTCATTTGTATACTTTTCTATTACAATGTAAATATTTCCCTGACTTGTGATTTAAAAAAAAAAAAAACAAAACGATTTTATATTAAATGTTAAGCCTTTGTCTTATTTTCTTATTTGCTTTGTTTTAAATTAATCTTAAAGGTTTTAAGACCTCCTAAATCATTTGATTCTGAGTAATGCTTTTAAAAGTATGAAAGATGGTACTCAGGAAGCCACACTCAAGTTTTACTGCTTTTAGTTGCAACTGATATATCCTTTAAAAATTATGACTCCAGCCACTAGTATACCCTTAATGTCATCTTATGTAGATAACATAATGTCATTCAATTAGAAATGAACATGGAAAGACAAAGTTTTTGCCCATGTATACCACACACTTTAAAGAGTCTCTATTTAGTCTAAATTCTAAATAGTTTCTTTAAACTTTTAATCATCACATTAGAAATATAAACACTGCAAGATACACAGGCAGTTAGAAAAGTGGTCAGTTTTAAAGAAGCATTTGTCAGTTTATTTTTAATATATAAACTGAATCTCTTTCAAATCATTATTTCCAGAAATCAGAGTGACGTGTCCAGTTAGGCAGTAAAACTACAGGCTTCTAATATTTCCCATAAGCCAACAGACAATAGCCTCATTCACCATTCACCCTGGAAAAGCACAATGCCATGTAATTTATATAAGCCATAAATGGAACAGTAGCTTCATGTAGCTTGAGACCAACTAATGCAAGTTTGCTAAATCTATTCAGTGTCTCAGGATATGAAAAAATACATAGTCACTAAAACTCCTAACCATATTTTAAATGTATAATTTCAGTATTTGAGTGCAATAATATACCAATATTCTTTCTCTCAAAGGAATAGACAGAATATACATTTCAATAGTTTGTGTAGTTGAAGCTACTAAAATTTAAAAGATAATAAGATTATGTCCTCCATTTACAACAAGAGAGTAGAACTATTTACATTGTAAAGGTTGGCATTATTTCCACATAACATGCCAATATCTAAAAAGTATCATAACTTCTTAAACTGTTCCACATTAATTATAAATAACAAAATAAAAATTAATTACAATCTGGAAGTAGAAAAACTTTCAGTCAAAATAGCTCAATAAAGAAACACAAACCTTGTCATTGAATATTAATGCTTTCATTCTAACAAAATCTGCATTTTAACCACATAGCATTCAAATAAATTATATAATTTAATTTCATTATCAATAATTTTATATTACCTGTTGATCAGTCTCGTTTTAAAACTTGTATTCTTTATTTTAAAACTTGTATTCTTCTTTTTAAGTGTAATATGCTTTTCCCTCATAAACTATCAATATCTAGGAAGGCTGAAAGGAAACTAGATAAACATCTGCTGTTAAAAACCCTAGAATATTTTCAGGAAAAACTGAAGTTGAAAACAAACTCATATTCATTCAAAAGTAAGTTGCCTGTACGAGAAAAAGTCTTATGTTAGACTATTGGCTGTATTCCAAAATAAATTCTTTTGAATTATACCTTACAGATTCCACTGGCATCAATGAAGCTTGAAAACTCACAGGTGTGGAATTAATAAAACTAAGTGGTTCGTTTCTAATTACAATGCACACTACCAAGAACAAACCAGCAGAGCGCTGGTCTTGTTGGTACCATGCTTTCTCCTACTTTAAAAACGTGTGCTGGGGGAGGGGGCGAGGGGAGAGTGCTGGGAAGAAGGGAAAAGCCTTTTCCTAAAGCACTGAACTGAAAAGAAGCTCAAGTAGAACTGAATTAGGATCCAGTAGTTGGTGGAGATAAAGTGATTATCAATTTCTAGAAACGTGTACATTAGCTACTAGAAGTGGGTGAAATGTCTGTCAGGGTGCTTGCCCAAGAACAAATAAAACTCCAGAAGGAAAATTACATATTACAAGGAAAAGTAACTGCTTAGTTGGCCACAAAAATAAGCTTGGCTCTTCTGAGAACAATCTTTGTTTTTCCATTCTGGAAGGCAGGCAGTGGTGCTCAGCCACCCTTTCCCAGGGTCCTCCAAGGCACCTCACCGCTTGGATGACAGTTCCATAGAAGCTCAGCCTTTTAGGTTTCTCTAACAGTTTCAGTTCCCACAGACCCCACTTACAATTCTATAGGACGTCTCTATCACATAACATGACATATTCATTAATTATTTTTAAACCCCAAAGCACACTGAGAACATTTTCTTAAGGAATAAAAAGAAAGCAAAAACACTATTCAAATACCCCCAGAGATCCAAGAATAAGTTCTACAGTCAATGGTGACAAGGTGCAAAATCAACATTTTCCGCGAATTCCAGTACCTTCCAAGTCCCCAGGTGTTGATCCCGTAGCACGCTGGCTTGGCAGGGCCCGGGCCCAGGACTGATCGTCCGTCGGTGCTGGTTACTCCTTGTTTAATTTGAATCGAAAACACGTTTTCCCCATTCTTGAAACCCTGCCCTTTTTATTATGCTTTCCGCCGCCCAAATGTGAGGTTCACCTCTCGCTTGGGGGCGGGGGAGGGGGGTATGGGGGGAGAAAGCCGCACACACAAGTCACAGCTCCGTTTGGCAAAGCTCACTCCACAGTTCCCCGAGGGGCAAAGTGAAGACAAACCGGTTTATTATGTCAATGAAGCTGAAGTCCTTAACAAAATCATTTAGTTAGCGGGGGGGGAGACAGAGAAGGTGTGAAGGAATTCTGGGCTGAGAAGGGAGACTTACTTACATATTGGCATTACTGCGCGGAGGTCCCTTGAGGCCTCTTGGTCATCCTCCACCACTTGCGGCGCTCCGCTGCCCCGAGCTCCACGCTCCGCCAAGGGGACCCCTGCGCCTGGGCCGAGCGTGGCGGCTGGACCCTCCGTCACGCCCTTTCTGGAGAGTTCATCGGGTTTCCCGGCAGCTGGCTGCTCCACGCCCGCGCTCAGGGCGGCGCAAGGTGGACCCCGGGCGCGGCGGAGTTCAAGAGCGAATCCTGTGCGCGAGGGGGCGGGCGGCCGGCAGGTTCCTCCTCGCCCAGAAGTTTAAGAGTCAGGGCGAGACGCTGAGGCTGCAGGGTCAGCCTCTGAGACGGAGGAGTGCGACCCGCCGTCCTCGCCCCCGCTGGGTGAGGTGGGTCTTGGTCCCCCGCTTTGGGGCTCTGGGCTCCCGGCTTGCGCGAGTCGCTCTCCCCCGGCCGCCGATCCGCCCGCGCTTCCGGCGCCGAGGATTGGCCGGAGCCGGGGTCTCAGGTGCGGCTGTCCCGGCTGAGCGCGGCCCTCGGGCGGCTCGGGTCTGGGCGCTCCGCGGTGGGGGCCGTCCCGATCGCGCCGCTGCCCCACCCAGGATCGTCAACCCGAGGGCAGAAAGGGAGAAGTCGCCCCGCTGGGCGGGCCGGGCGCAGGCAGCGGGGAGAAAGTGACCACGACAGCTGGGGGTGGGAGATTGGCGCAGAGCCGGCGGCAGCTCTCCGGCAGGGAGGGGATAGGGCAGAGCCCGAGGTCACCCAAAGGCAGGAGTGCTGAACCCAGTAGACCCCCGGCGAAAGAAATGAGAAGCTCGGAATGCAGGCAGGCGCTCCGGGGGGCATCTCCTCCCTGTCCGCGGCCATTGCACGCCCCCAGCCAACTTGGGTCCCCGGGTCCCCCTGAGGGGCTCCTCTCTCAAGCTCCGGAACTGTAGCTTTACTTTACTTTTCTCTTTCCTCTTTTCCACACCCTCCCCACCTGATACCCCCCTCTCCTCCACCTGATCCCCTCTCCCCACCACCTTTCAAAAAAAAATAATAAAGAAATGAAGGTATATTAACAAGGACTTGGAAAAACATTAACACATTTTTTTGAGCAGTGTTAATTTGCCAATGCAAACCTAGCTACTTACTTGCTACCTGCCTGTTGCTCCTATAAAGTAGCTGCCCTACTAAAGATATGGACACCTCCCCTTGGAGCCAAGAAGAGAGAAAAGGGGCTGACACTTGTAAGAGGGTCCCTTCCCATTGTGTATTATTAGAGCTAGTTAATAAAATACTAGATACAAACCTTAGGGTGCCAGATCTGTATGAACATCCAGAGCCAGAAACAGCCTACCCTGCCCAAAGTGTTCAAATGCAGGCACGCACAGGCCATACCCAGATGTGCCATAGAGATTATTTATCTTTGATTGGCTAATGATAAAAAACTCTTGGGGTGGAGAAAAAAGAACAGGACTTAAGAACAGACAGTTACAGGCAGAAAGAAAACTGGACTTCTGCCACCAAATCCAGGGGCTTGACCAGGGTGTGTTCTACTTGTCTCTTTTATCAGTTTTTATTTTGATGAATAAATAGGATTAATAGAGACTTTGCATTGTAGCACTTAAGGGAAAGCTGAAGTTCTCTACCCAAGCTTCTGTTATTATGAACCCCAGAGATAGATGTAAGGTCTGCACAAACCAGTTAGAAGTAACCAGGGGCTACGGCCCAGGTCCCCAAACTCCCAATTCAAGTTGGTCTCTTATACCACATTGTCCCAAAGAAATTTCTTAAGTTCTACTCAGAATTTCTTGAAAGTGACGTCATTTCACAGTTTTGTGAGTGAAATGATGAGCTCAGTGTCTTTCACAAGACTGCAAAGTAACATTTAAGGATATGGTATCATCTGAAGGCTTGACTGGGGAAAGATCTGCTTCCATATTCTTAAATATAATTTTAAATATTGTTGATATATAGATAGATAGATAGATAGATAGATGTGTGTGTGTGTGTGTGTGTGTGTGTGTGTGTGTGTGTATATATCTGCATTAGCCAATGTTCTCCAGAAAAACAGAACCAACTTTGTGTATATATGTACCTAGATTTATTTTAAGGAATTGGCTCAGGCTATTATGGAGGTGAAAGTCCAAAATCTGTTAGGAGAGGCCAGCAGGCTAGAAACTCAGGGAAAAGGTGCAATGGGAGCCAGAAGGCCATCTGCTAGCAGAATTCTTATGTCCTCTGAAGAGGTTGGTGTTTGTTCTGTTAGGCCTTCAAATGATTGGATAAAGCTTCCTGACCTTATTAAAGATAACTTTCTTATAAGTCAATTGATTTGAGATTTTTGTTTTGTTTTGGTTTTGTTGTAGTTATTTTGGTACCAGGGATTCAACCCAGGGGTGCTTAACCACTGAGCCACAGACCTAGCCCTTTTTATTTTATTTATTTATTTTATTTTGAGACAGGGCTTCACTAAGTTGCTGAGGCTGGCTTTGAACTTGTGATCCTCCTGCCTCAGCCTCCCAAGTTACTGGAATTATAGGTGTGCACCCCCATGCCTGACTAAGTCCATTGGCTTTTAAAATAATTGTTTAGAGTATTTTTAAATTTTATTTTCTGTTTTATATTTTGACAAGTTATAATTATATGTTGATATAGGGTACAACTTGATGTCTTGATTTATGTATACAATGTTAATAATTAACTCAAGTTAATTAATTTATCCATCATCTCACATATTTATCATTTTGTGTATGTGGTGAGAAGATTTGAAATTTACTCTCAGTAATTTTGAAATATACATTTTTATTAACTATAGTCACATGTTATGCAAATGATCTCAAAATATATTCCTCCTGTCTCATTGAAACATAATGTTCTTTGACCAACTTCTCCCCATTCCCACTGACACCCTCTACCATTTTACTGTCTACTTCAATGAGTTTAACTGTTTTATATTTCACATACAAATGAGATCATGTGGTATTGTCTTTTTGTCTATCATCAGATGAATGGATAAAGAAAATACATTATATATATACATATATATGTATATATATTGCACATTCTATTATATATATATATATATATATATATACACACACACATATATATGCACAATAGAATACTATTTAGCCATACAGAAGAAGGAAATGCTATCATTTGACAACATAAATGAATCTGGACGACATTATGCAAAACCAACTGATGTGTGTGTTAATCTCATCCAAAAAACACCTCCATAAAAACATCCAGAATGATGTCTGACCAACTACCTAAACAGTATGACTAAGCCAAGTAAACATGTCAAATTATGGGCTGGGGTTGTGGCTCAGTGGTAGAGGGCTTGCCTAGCATGTGTGAGGGACTGGGTTCGATTCTCAGCACCACATATAAATAAATAAAATAAAGGTCCAGCAACAGCTAAAAAATATTTTTTAAAAATGCCAAATTAACCATTACATTAACCAAAGTCAATTGACATTCTTTGAGAAGATAGGAAAGTATTTTCATGTGCCATTACATATATTATATATTAATATCAATTATGTTCATAATTTATGCATTGATATTTTTATGCAGCCATGTGAATCACAGTGGAAATATTTGAATGGGCCTTTGCCTGTCCTTGGTCAATTAGGTTAGCAACATCTGTATATTTTGAAAGTTCTATCCTCAAACTAAGGATTTATTCTTTATTTGTGAAAGCATGTTAAGGAAATGGGGTGTCTGGTAGAAAGTACAGGGTCTCTTAACGCAATACACTTGGGTTCAAACCTTGGCCCTGAAATTTCCCAATACGATTAAGTCTGGCAGTGTAACTGTGTATTTGTAGACTGATTTATAAAATCACAACAACAGTACTTAGAATGTTTAACTCACAGAGCTTTTGGACAGATTCAATGAGCTCAGGACAGAGAGCATTCAGTGAATTTCCTGGAATTTGGTAATATCAGTTGCCTCCTCCTGCCCCACATATCATCTCATCCTAGAAATGAAGTGCCAGGACCACATTCCTCTGCATACAGGAATCTTCTGAGAACATTCCAGGCAAATGAATATTGGACATCTGCTTGAATCCCTTAACATTGATGAACACTCAACTATGAGAAACTTCCTCTTTCCATTGATTGAATCTAACATTCATGGCTTCGGCTTCCATTCAGAACAAGGACATTCTATCTTCCACAATAAGTCTTTCAAATATCTGAAGACAGCTATCATCTCCCCCTCAGTCTTCCCTTATTCAGTGTTCACAGCTCTCATTATTTTAACCATTCAGTGTCTGGTTCCTGGATTTGCTCTTTCCTATCTACAGGGGTCAACATGAACCTTCTTTACCAGGTACGCAAAGTGGATTCCACACTTCATTCCTGATAACTGTAGGATCCTTATCTTACCTGAACTGGATGTTAATCTGGTGTAAATAAAAGTTAATATTGACTTTTTGAGCAGACTCAAAAGCTATGCACAGCAGGAATAGGTATAGTTATGATAAATTGATCTGTGTGTCAGACAGTATATAAATTATTTTTTAATAAATCAAGGTCAAGAAATGTATCTTAACTCGTAAATAATTCATCCCAACTGGAAGTTTCTGTCTTAATCTCCTATTTTTTCCTTAATCAATCCATGTCCTCCCCTTTCACCAGGTATATTGCTTTCTTCAGCAGGGAGGGATAGAAGAAAGCTGACTCGTATGTGTCAGTCAATATCAACCAATCCAGCTCTTGGACATGGTCCACCTGGGATGTCAATGAGACTCTTCCAGGCTCTCTCCTGACTCCCTGATGTTCAGCTTAGTCCCTCCAAGCAGCCCTTCTTTCTGGGACTTTGCTTTCCTCCCTGGTGTCTGTCTGAGAGGCAGAGGGCAGGACCCCTTAGAACCACTTATCAACCTGATCTCACAGACTGCCCTTCCCCTACCCCATCCTGTCTGACAGGGGGAGATAGATTTGCTTTCTGTGTTTTCCTCCACATTCTTCTGTACCTCAACTCCCCTCAGCACCCTTAGGGCTTAAAGTTATGAGAAAGAATTTCAGACATTCTGAATGCTTTCTGTTGTCTCCTCTGCCCCCTCATTCACACAAGCTATGGAAATGCACATGCTGGAAACTTGA